AAACATCTGCAGAAACTAACATCTAAAAACACAAACATCTGCAGAAATTAACATCTAAAAACACAAACATCTGCAGAAATTAACATCTAAAAACACAAACATCTGCAGAAACTAACATCTAAAAACACAAACATCTGCAGAAACTAACATCTAAAAACACAAACATCTGCAGAAACTAACATCTAAACAAGCTGTTGTGGACAGTTTACTGGACAGGGACTACTGAGACTTGTATTTAAACTCGTAATATCGTGATGTGGACCTGCCGTACACGTCGCTCCGCCCTATAAGTCGCATCAGTCCGTATTTGACTAATGAAGTGGAAAAATCCATAAATATGTTGCTTCGCCGTGTACGTCACATGTAGTGTGTCACCGCTGACGCGTCGCGTTTGTTACAAGTCACTGCTGACAACCTGGAAACGTGGACCGCTGTTGTGCCAAAAATGGATGGGCTGCCGAATAGTGGCCGCCGGAGCGTGCACAGGAGGACTTTATCCAGAATTTAACAAGTTTAACACTTAAAAACAATTATTTATTTGTTTGAAATTATATTAAATGTGTATATCAATCTAACATTTGCTTAATAAATGTTCTTTAATGGTCAAATTAGCTGCATTTTGCAGGGGCTCTAAGCAGCGAGCAGAACCAAGGTTTGGAGACTTCGGCCGGACTCTGCTGCCATCAAGTGGCTGAAAGTGGTACTGCTCCTTTTTCCCCCAGTCAGAATGAATGAAAACGTTATATCTCAGCCAAAAAATGGTTTATAAATATGGAAAAATCCATAAATATGTCACTTTGGCCTATAAGTTGCAGGGCATGTAAATTATGCTAAAACCTGCGACTTATAGGCCAAAAAATATGGTAGTATTTAAATTTGTAGTACCCTGATGTGGCTCTATTTACATTCATAGTATCGTAATGTGGATCTGTAATATTGAAACTCGTAGTATCGTGATAATGGATGTGAAGTATTTTACCGCTGGAGGCCGGCGGTAACTCTCCGATCACAGTTTTGAGTCCAATGGAGGAAATGTCTCGGAGTTGTTCTTTGTCTGACAGCATGTTGGTGCACAGCGTGTCCACGATGGTCTCCACCTGGTACTCCTTCACCTTACTGACCAGAGGCCCCAGGCTGACCAATCAGACACACTCAGTTAGTGACATCACAGGAAACAAAAGGATTGTTTAAGGAAAGCGTTTTTATACCATTTGACAGCCAAGTTCTGAACCTCTCCGTTTTTGTCTTCCAGCAGTTTGAGGATCATCCTCACCACCTGTCAATCAATCAATCAATCAATCAATGAGTTGGGTTTGAGCTCAAACGTCACGAGTGAATCAGAAAACACCGACCTTCCTCTCGCTGTCGTCGTCCAGTTTGATGGAATCTTTCTGCAGCTCCGTCATCAAGTCGTTGGTCGCCATGAACCTAAAAAACAAAAACATCCATTTGTCTGAAACCGAACGCTGCCGTTGGTCAGAACCTCAGCGACCTCCATCAGAACCAGCGCTTCCATTATCCAAGGAGGGCGCCCTGCCCGGTCAACAGAACCGAACTCCACGCCTACCCAACCCCCCCTCCCCCGCAGCAGACAGCTCCTCTGCTTCTGGACGGAGCAGCTCAGAACTAGCATTAGCATTAGCATCGTAACGCGTCTGATGACAGCTTCCTGCAACTAAACTGTAACAGATGAAACTTTTTAACCTCCAGGTCGTCTTTATTCATCGCAACATAAACGATCCCACCTCTTCCTCCTGAACAAACCGCTCAGAGGCAGACCAAGCCCAGCCGGAGGTCAGAGGTCAAGCCGTTTCAGCTCCTCAGGTGTCATTTCTGAACCTGGCCTCTTCTTTTGGCTCCAGGTTCTGGTCTTTATGTTGATTTATTTTTATTAACTGCGAAAGAGGCCAGGGTTTTTTTCAAATCCCTTCAAACGACTCAGGCAGCGAGTCCAATCCAATAATCACGCTTCCTCCGGCAGCACTTCCTGCGAGCGCGAGGACTAATTTGCATTTCTTTGACAGCGACGCGGCGGCTCTTTAAAATAATCTGCTGTGAAACGCTCCGGCAGCGACGCGTCAACCCAAGAGCAGCTTCTCTGCTGCAGAGCGTGTGCACACCCCCACCCAGAACCGAACGGTTCTGCCGAGTCACGGTTCCACAGATTGATGGGACTGAACGGGTCAGAGGTGAAGAACTGATCGTTTGTGCAGATTCTCACTAAAAACACCGATTTACTGCTCAGACGTGTTTTTAATGTTCGTCACGATCGGACGTCTCCGCGTTAATCCACATTAAAAACATCGACACGAACATTTACACAAAAACAAGTTTGTAAAATTATAAGATTTCAACTATTTATTGATTAGGGTACGAATCTCTGTGTTCGGCCACTCAATTCGATTCAGGAACAATTTTTCTATTGAAATGGTTTTAAATTTGTTTATGTTATTGACAAGATGCAAAAACAACAACGTAAACAAACAGAACATTTAATTAAAACAGTAATTTTAGGCTCAAATCTTTCGCATCATTTTATATTTATACACAAATAAGAGTGCATAAAAGTCAGTTAATTTAAATGACCAGTGTTAGGTTTACTGATACTGAAGAAACAACCAGCCAGAACAATAAAACCATTATCTTTATGAAAACGTTCTGAAGAGACAAAACAAATCAAATTTGTTGTTTTTACAAAAGGATCTAACTGAAGTTAAAAATACTGAGACCGATCGGAGATTCTTCTGTTGAGACAAAAACATATCGACCTTTTGTTACCCGAGTATTTCAAGGGCTCGGCTGTGACTAAAATCTAATTCCAGTCATAACAAACATGTTTAAAGTTACTCTCTAAAGTAAAACGTGCGCTCGTATCTACAAGAAAAACAAACGAGCTGCAGCGCCTCAAGTTCCTGTACAAAACATCCACGTCCTCCGAGTTTAAAACCTTTAAATCTTTATAAAGCAGCTGCTGTCACCGTTCACTTAAGCAGAAATCATCACATTGGAAGTTTAAACAATGACTTTCTTTGCGTTTGTGTGGACAGAAACGATGCCAACAAGGAGCGAAAACAGGATTTAAAGGTTTCTCATAAAGTCTAAAGCTCAGCGTCTTCCTGGATCTTGTCCTTCAGAGACGCTCGGTCTCGTCTCCGAGACGTTCAACGGAAACGGACTTTGGAAAGACGCGTTTCAGCGAGCGAACAGTCCGGTTCTCCCTACGGAGGAGCAAGTCCTAGATGGAGATCATAAAACTGCAGCCGAGTCCAGCAGGAATCGTTTATTCGAAGCTCACCAGCTCAACGTTTATGACATCAAACGGATTCATCTGGGCTGAGGTTGCTGGTGCAAAACTGAGTTTTAAAGTTCGAGTGTTCGCAGTTTCCACGTCAGTCTCAGGGCCTCGTTCTCACGTCGCAGGAATTTCAAACGCGTTTAAAAAAACATTTGAGCAACAAACTTTCTTTCAAAACAGTCTCAGATCCACCGGAGCTCCTGCGAGTGAGAAACAGAGAAACGAGGCGGCTTCAGGTCTGCGACCCGATCAGAACCGAACGTTACGAGGAGCCCAGTCCACCTCGGAGCTTCAGATCTGCTTGATGACGAAACGACTGCTGGACTGAGGACACGCTCTGGATTCCAAGGATCCACATTTCTTACGGTCATTCTGTTGAAGATTTGTGGGCCAACCTCTCAAAAATCTTTAAAGTACAGAAAGAAGTGTTTGAGCTGCTGCCGAGACGAAACAGTTTTAGGACTACAAAAAGAACAGATGTTGTAAAGTAACTGCTGGCAGAGAAACTGTCCTTTTATGTTTGTTATTGTATAAAACAACCACCAGCAAAGATAATTTTATTGAGCACGGCTTTCTGTTAAACTCATCTCTCCTTTTTAATCCATTTATAAAAACAAAAAGTAATAAGAGCAACATTTTGTTTTAGGCTCCTTTACAACAAATAAAAACACCTGCACTCTCTCTGCATGTCTGTAAACAAAATGTTTGAGGAAAATAAAAACCATTTGGACTTTGGTTTAGTTTCAATAACACAATTTTCCTCTAAAATCCACCACGTAAATCTGAACTCAGCATTAAATAACCCGAAAAACGAGATTAGTTGCAACCGTTACCGCATCGCCTACCCAGAATGCAATGCGCCACGCAAAGCAACTATGGGTCATGTAGTCCAATACTCTGCCATAAACATTGAGGATTTTTAAAACCGTTCAAATATGTTGTGTGTTTTTAACATTATATTTTTATCTAGAAATTATAATTAGAGGGAATCAAAGTCTATAAGGAGGTTTATTAGTAGGATCTTAAAGTTAAATTATAGCAAGAAAAAAAACAACAACACTGCTTCTTCTAGCGAAGCTAAACGTTTCTGTGAACAAACATCCCGACAGCTTCAACCTCCTCCAGCCTGATTACATCCACGCCACCTAAACCCCAACAGCTGAACTACCTGCCCCCACCTGGACATCTTCATCAGGTGAACTCGCCTCACATTCCGCCGCTAACCCCCATGCTAACAGGCGGCTAGCTGCTAACAGGCGGCTAGCTGCTAACAGGCGGCTAGCTGCTAACCACTGGCCTTTGACCTGCAGCTCAGCAGTCAGTTAAACTTCGCATTAAGCAGGTTGTGACTGTAACCAGATCCAAACGCTGAGAAAGCGCAGCTGTCAAATCAAACCGAGCCCGGTACCGAGAGCTAACCGGGCAGGAAGCTCCGAGGATCGGACAGGTGGCAGGCTAACGGTTAGCATGTTAGCCCGAGGCCTTCCTGACAGATGACTGAATTCAACACCAACACCGACTCTTTCCACCGAGTTCAAGCGTGAAAACAAACAGCTCGGTGCGACACCTAACCCCGAACACGAGACCCGCTCCACCCGGAACCGAGCTTCACCTGAAATCCTTGTCGCTGGAGGTCATTTTCTCCAGCAGGTTGGAGATGTGGTACGAGGCGCTCGCCATGTCGTTAGCCTCCTGTTAGCAGAGTGCGTGCCGGGCTGTCTGCGCGTGTGTCCGCGACGGCTCCTTTGATTTGTCCTCAGGTAAAAGGTGCCTCGGTGCTTGTTGTGCTGCTGCGGCCGCCTTTCTCTCGGTTCACAGCCTCTGAGGCATCCCGGGGCGCGGACTTGGTTTGAATGGAGCTCCCGTGGAGTCTGCAGAGGGGCGGAGTGAGCGGGACCGGACTCTCCGGGACTCACCGGATCCTAAATCTCACGGACCCCCGCTGCCTGAGGGCGCATCGTTGTAACTCAGGCTGCTGTGGAGCCTCTTGGTGAAAAGAATATGGATTTATATGAAACATGTGCAGTCAGGTTTACATCACATGCTCCTGGGGTTGTGCAGAACAGTGACCATACCAATTTATTTATAGAGCACTTAAAACAGCAACAAGGCCAAGCAAAGTGCTGAACAGGAGAAAACAAACATGCACAGCACAGGAAAACACAAAATAAATGTTTTCATTCAGTTAGAAACTGTTCAGGCTCAGCGCAGCCGAACCAAGTCATGACATTAGAAACATTAACACGAACTCGCAGCAAAGCAGCTTCAGCAGTTTGAGTTTTAAACTAAAATCATCTTGTATTGAGAAACAACAGTGGTAGGTGAATAAAAAGGCTGACCCTCACAGTGTTGTGATCAACTCTCAGCTACTACCACAGCGAACTTCACCTGAGCGTCTGTAAAACTGAGTTATGATCATTCTGCATTAGAACAGGAGTCGGTTCATCAGGTTTGGGTGTTCATATTTTTGAGAGTTTCATTAAAATTCATCCAGTGGTTCCCGAGATACTCAAAGACAAACGAACAGACCCGGTCAGTGAACGGCAGGTGATAAAACTGCTGTTGGTCTTTATTTCTAAGAAACAAAACATGAACGCCTCTCCTGCATCTGTTAATGAACATCTGGCTTTTTAAATTACACACAAGCTTTCTGAAAACTGTAGCATCAAGAGAAGTTTAAGATTTTAAAAGGCCTCGTTTAGGATGAATTAAACAGGAATTCAACTTAAACCCGAGTGTTTTATTTCAACATTATGAACTAAAAACCGTGTCTCAACAATCAGAAACTATAAGACCAGATTTCCACAGAGCTCTTTTTTCTGTCTTCACTGCTTCAGCTGAAAATTAAAAATTCAAATCTCTGCTCCCATAAATCATCCCCCCCGTCCTCCAGGTTTATTTTTACCATCGTGGAAGGACCCGAAGGCGTGGACCTCTGAACCAAACTGTGACCTCTGCAGACATGACATTAAACCCAAGCTGCTCCGGACCCCTAAGAAATGCAACACTCTGGTTTTCTAAATTAGTTGTCCACATGTTTGGATGTGCTGAGTGCAGAGAGTCACCTGCAGCAGGTGGACTCGGTGAAAGCGTCACCAATGAGAGCTTCTATCTTTGCACCGGATCAGTGAACAGAAAGGAAACCAAGCGCAGCTGCAGCTTCATTGAGGAGACTCTCGGCTCACGACCCGTTCATCACGAGCAGAACAGAGACGCAGACGTGACGTTTCCTGTGGGCGGAACGAGTTCTGCGCTTCAGTGTGTCGTACTCGTGTTGTGAGACCATCAAATCTTTCAGCTGCGTTTTAGAGATCCAGTCCCCGTTAGGGACAAAAGGAAAATGGTAAAAGCCTCGGTCACGTTAGGAACGGGTTTGGGTTGGGTCACTGCGCTATTTAAACATGTTCCCTTTCTGCAGGTATACAAACGTTTATTAAAGCCTCCCAGACTCCAAAGTTAGCCTAGATTTATACATTAACATGAGCCCCAAACTTCACGTTTAGTATAATATCTTTTACTTTGAACAAATCACCTAACTGAACCAGATTTTATTTTTTATATAGTTAACGCAGCCTTAAAACTACAAGAGATCTCCACTGCCTGCACGTGATGGCCTTAATATGTTTCCTTGTTCTATTGACACTTGTTTTTGTGACACGTGAAAATATCTAATTAATTTAAAAATATATGTTTATTGCATTTTTTTTGCTTAAAATGTTGCCATTATTTTAGGGGTGCAGTGCATTCTGGGGGATGACATGCAGAAGTGTCAGTAGACTCTAAACGGTCAAGGTTAAAAAGTTGTAATGTTTGACAATAAAGGTTTTTATTTTTTGTCATCATGACGTTGAGCAAGATATTTGGGTGGAAATTATTAGGTGTTATCAACTTGTTATGTTTAGTGTTGGATGGATGGATGGATGTTAGTTGTAAGATGGATGTTGGTTGTAAGATGGATGTTGGTTGGATGATTGATGTTGAATGATGGATGGATGGCTGGATGGATGGATGGATGGATGATGGAAGGATATTGGTTGGATGATGGATGTTGGCTGTATGATGTTGGATATTGTGTGATGGTGGATGGATGATGATTGATAGATGGATGTTGGTTGGACGATGAATGTTGGATGGATGTTGGTTGGATGATGGATGTTCATTTTATGATGTTGGCTGTTGGATATTGTGTGATGGGTGGATGGATGATGATTGATGGATGTTGGTTGGATGATGGATGGATGTATGATGTTGAATGATGGATGGGAGGATGGATGATGATTGATGGATGTTGGTTGGATGATGGATGATGTTGAATGATGAATGGATGGATGGATGGATGTATGATGTTGAATGATGGATGGATGTATGATGTTGAATGATGAATGGATGGATGATGGATGGATGTATGATGTTGAATGTTGGTTGGATGATGGATGGATGGATGATGTTGGATGATGGATGGATGTATGATGTTGAATGATGGTTGGATGATAGATGATGGATGGATGTATGATGTTGAATGATGGATGGGAGGATGGATGGATGATGATGGATGGATGTTGGTTGGATGATGGATGGATGTATGATGTTGGTTGGATGATGGATGGATGTATGATGTTGGATGTTGGTTGGATGATGGATGGATGTATGATGTTGAATGATGGATGGGAGGATGGTTGGATGTTGGTTGGATGATGGATGTATGATGTTGGCTGGATGTTGGATGGATGTATGATGTTGGATGATGGATGTGCAAAGTGTCTTTAAGTCTTAGTTTGTATAAAACGTGTAATAGCTCTTGCATCTGTCAGATCATGTTTTGATGTCGGTGCTTGCGCTCGTGACGGACAGCAGAGCTCTTCTGTCTTCCTCCCTCCTCTTCATCATCACTCATCTCCACATTCTCCTCTGTCGACGCGCTCCGGTTCAGATTAAATGGCTGAATGTCAGACATTAAAATTAACGTTCAAGCGGGACGGACCTCGCACCGCAGCCACCCGTCTACGTCATTTACCCAGAATGCACTGCAGCATAATGTTTGACAGCAGCCATTATTGATACAGTCGTGTTTTTGTAGCTGAAGCAAATGTTGATCAGTGAACGTCCATCATTCCAAAGAGTCTGAGATCTCTTTAACAGTTTAACCCTAAAAGCACACAGGGGCGTGGCTATGGGTGGGCGTGGTATATCATAGGCCCACCCACTTTTTGTTAAGGTACATTGCATTTTTTAGTACCGGATTAATTAATTAAAAATAAATCAACAAATAACTTATCTAGATAATAAAAAAAATGTGTTTTGATGTTATAGCATACATTGTGTGAACTCGTTACAATACAGATTTATTAAATCTGTTCATCTGTTGGTTCGTTAGGACCGCAGAGGTTTGTCCCTGCAGACGGGTTCAGCACCGAGCCCTCCCCGCACAACTCCTTCAGGGTCAGATACGTGGCGGCGCCTACAGAAAGATGGAGGCCACTGACGGAACCAGAACCAAAAGCCTCAAAAGGATTTTTCTAATTGCCTTTTTCAGCAACATCTTTCCTCAAACACACAAATGACACTTAATTACCCTCATAAATACAATAAGTCAGTAAATAAAACATATTCTATTATTTTTATTTAGGGCCCTGGTATCCTGAGGCCAAAGAAACTGTCTACTCCTGCCTCTGGGTTTAAGTCAGGGTTATTCAACTGACGGCCCAGGGGCCAACTCAGGCCCATGGGTGAGCTCAGTTCAGCCCACCAGTGGGTTCATACTTAACTAAAACTAGATTTTAAATCATAAAACAAACTTACTTAATGACACAAACTGCTGGATGTCTGACCTCTGACCTCTTGACTTTCAGTAACTGTGGCCCCTTGAGCAATTAGATGAATTGTGCTGGTTTAGGTTCTGTTACGAGTCAGTGATTCAGTGAGTCAGTGATTCAGTGAATCTGTGAATCAGTGAATCGGGATGTGAAAGAATCCTGAAAAGGACCAAAGGATTAAAGTGTGATGAGTCATCAGGGGGATGTTTACCGAGCCTCCGGCGCTCTCTGTGCCGACACGAAGCAGCTGCTGACACACGCACGCTGGAGTGTGTGCATGAGTGTGTGCATGAGCGTGTGCATGAGTGTGTGCATGTGTGTGTGCATGAGTGTGTGTGTGTGATATGCGTAAACTACACTTGACAATAATCTGTGAAATTAGGCAGCGGCTGCATCACAAACACTCCACATCTCACTCGTGAAGAAACGACGAGGAGAAATAATCTGAAGACGGTGTGAAGGAGAGGATTATCTTCATCGTCATCGGCGTGATGAAGACGATGAAAACAAGCCGACCTTCTGCACCACAGCGACGATGTCGCTCGAGTGGACGAGACCAGAGCGAGGGACGCTGGTGCTGAGTCCCCTCCATGCCAGGCATCGCCCGACCCGTTACCACGGCAACCGTACACAAAGACGATGCAATCTGGGGTTCAGCAGCGCAAGAAAACCTGAGGGAACAACATTTACGCCCCGAGGCTTCGTACAGGAATTTATTAACAACAAACACTAAATATATTTGACTTTATAAATATTTGGCTTCATGCAAAAATAATTCAAAAGCTGTAAAAAAAAAAAGCCGGCAGTAAAAACTCAAAATATTTAGTGTTATTTCTCGGTCCAGTCAGGCTGTTACCCGCTCCTAAAAGACAAACGAAGGGTGATCATGTAACTGCCTGCGTGCACGTGTTTGTCTGTCTGTTAGCAAAATATCTCATGAACCACTGGACAGATGTGGCAGAAACTCTCACAAACAAATAACAGCATGTAGTTTGTTTTATTTTTTTAAGAAGTCTCAGTGGCTGAATTTAAAATGAGTTTGTTTGGATATCAGCCGAAACCTGACGCAGATGAGCCGAAGCCTCCCGAAAAATGAGCTTAGCTGTTAGAAACACAGCGGGAAACTGAAACAGCTGCAGAATCTCAGAGGCAGATTATGAGCTACAAGCTAAATGTAGCAAAGTGCTAATTAAAAGTAGCAAAAGGCTACCTAAAAGCTAAAATTAGCAAAACATTAGCTACAAATATAATTTGTGACTTATCTGTCCAAATAAAGATCGAATGAATGAATTTATCAAAAATACAATGTACCAGCTAAACATAGTTGACGCTTAAAGCTAAAAGTAGTAAAAGCAAAGATAAAAGTAGCACAATATTAGCTACAAACTAAATGTAATAAAATGCAAGCTACAATTAGTTTGAAAGTTCAAAAAGCAAAAGACTAGGGAAAATTGTAAAAGTCCAGCTAAAAGTAGCAAAATGCTAAATGTAGCTAAATGTAAAAAGGCAACAAACATCTTCCAAAAAGCCAAATTTAGTAAAACATCAACCAAAAGTCAAATGTAACTAAATATTAGCAAATAGCTAAAAGCAGCAATCATAAAATCATAATAACATAAAATAACATCACATAAAATCATCAAAACAGTAGCTACAAATCAAATGTAGCAAAATGCTATCTACAAGCTAATGCAGAAAAATTATAACTTTCAGGTAAAAGCAGCTAAAGGGAAGATAAAAGCAGCTAAAGCTAGTAAAAGACTAAGCCAGCCTAAAAATATAGTAAAATGTCAGTTTAAAAACTCGAAAAGCAAAAGGTTAGCTAAAAGTAACAAAAAGCTAGCTAAAAGCTAAAATTAACAAAACACAATAAAATGTTAAAAGTAGCAAAGCATGACCTAAAAGTAGCAGAACGCTTGCTTTAAGCTAAATGTAAGTAAAGGCTAGCTAAAAAAATTAAGTAAAGGCTAGCTAAAACAACAAAAATTAAAACGGTAGCTAAAAGCTAAAAGTAGCATTTTAAGACTTTTTGTCGAAGCAGATTTCAACGAGAACGTTTTTGAAGGAACTGAAGAGATCTCAGGGTGAAGAACGTTTGTAAATAAAGTTAAATATATATATTAAAAAAAAAAAACATTTTAAAAAAAGTCACAGCACCCTTCTCCTGAATGAGCCGAAGGTCCTTGGGTGTGAACAGCTAAAACAACAGTCTGCAGGAGTAGTTCGGCTGCAGAGTCAAATGGACTGATAGCTTGTGGTTTGTTGGGTTCGTGTCTGTAAATGTGCGGAGACTCTGACGGGCGTCGGCCTCTGACTGGGTCTCTCCTCAGAACCAGGTCAGCCTCGGCTTTTCATCTCGTCGCCTGCAGAGACCCATTCTTCCACCTCACCGGCTCTTTTCCCGCTCTCCGTCTCTGCTCCTCTGGGAACAAAGATGGCCGCCTGCCACGGTGAAGGCTGTCAGTTAGTGGCTGCAGACAGGCTGGCGTCGGTATCGTCTTTGTTTTGATCCAGTGGGGGTTCTTTTCCTCTTCCTGTCAAACCATCAGATCCAGTCCACTGAAGACGCACGTCTTTCTGCTGCTTTAAAGGACGGATTCGTTCCTGAAACTTTTCACTGCGAGAGCGACGGTTTGAGTTTGACCTGAGGATTTCTGCTGCGTTCGTTCCACACGAAGGGTTCACTGGAAACAGATTTTTAAAAACGTTTGGTGTCTCCGTGTGGACAGGAAATACAGAAATGATGCAGCTCTTTCTAACGAGCTGCGTGAACCTGAGCGACAGCTTTACGCTTCCGTTTGTTGTTACTTTTGATTTGCCTTTTTTACGTTGCTTTCTTTACTAATCAGTTAAACTTTAAACGGCATAAAACACGTTTTACAGGAATATTTGATTAATATTTCAGCTTTTTTGTTAGAATGATGTTAATGATGTTTCGCAGCATAGTGGATTAGTGGTTAGCACAGTTGCCTCACAGCAGGAAGGTTGTGTGTTTGAGCCCTGGGTCTATCTGCGTGGAGTCCTTGTGTGTTTTCTTCAGGCCCCTCTTAAAAAAAAAAGAAGTGATGTCAGCCGTGTTGTCCGGTTAAATAAAGTTTAATAAGTTTGAATGGCGCCGTTTAGGAATGAGCCGAAATTAAACTCAGTTTATTCTTTCCCTGCGATAACGTTCTGGTTTCTCCGTTGGTCCGGTTAGATCTCAGCGCTGCCCCGGACATTTTAATCTGCGACCCATCGAATCAGGGATTACGTGAGATTTGATCAAGCTCAGCACATTTTCACATTCCTGGATTGTTAATCTGCGTTTGGATCATCCTGACATCAGCAGCGGTTCCAGAGACGTGGCTCCGTTTGTCCTGCTAATCAGGATAAACCCTGGAAAATGGGTCTCGATCCTGTTTTTGGCGTATTCTAACGAGGATTATTGATGTCGTTGGAAAGATTGAGCCTAAAAACAGATTTGGGTGTCAGGATTTCAGAGCTGTTCGTTGATGGTTCTGCTCAGAGAGTCGCTTCAAAGCGTTCTTTAGGATTTTATACGTCAGACGCTTCATTCAACTCACACAGATGAGGGTTTTATTCTTCATATTTGATCAGATTACCGTATTTTCCGGCGTACAAGTAATTTTTTTTTTGCATAATTTGTCAGTCGTGACTTATAAACGTTTTTTTCCTCTTCACGATGCTTCTTTTTTTTTGACCGATGCGACTTATACGCCAGACATTACGGTAATTATTGCAACTGCTTCGCAGCTGCCTTCATCTCTGGAGACCTGATCCAACAAGAGGACCTGAACACATCGTCGGCTCGGTGGGACCGACTTGGACTCTTGACTCGTACTTGCAAAGCGACGTTTGCGTGTGTTGACGACAACCCTCAGCTACGTCACTGCCTCAACATCTGGAGAACTCCATTTTCCAGTTGATTCACTGCGGCAGCCATTAAGGGGCGCTCCGTCCGATTGTTGCTTTCTGAGCGCTTCATTAAACCCTGTCCTCTGTTAGCAAAACATCTCACGGATCAGAGGGCAGGTGATGATAAGCAGCAGAAGGTTTGAGTTTTGCACCCAGCAGACTCTAGCGTGACTTCCTCTGAGTTTTAGCGGAACGCCCCTTTAGTTCCCAGCTGAGCGAAGCCGGAGGCTCGAGTCCACCGGGACGAGTCGGGACAGGACCCGCACTTCAAAACGCGGCGTTGTGCGTGTGGTCTCTGCTGATTCATTACTGGAGCATTTCAGCTGTTTACATCAGATGAGCTGAAAGAGAGGCCGACGTTCGATTTGCTCCGGGTCTTACTGTGTGTCTGTTAGCAAAATATCTAATGAACCGTGTGTTTGGGTCAGTGAAAGCTGGGGGGGGGGGACTCTGCTGGACCCCATTCTCTTCGACCTGCGCCAACACGAACACCGTCTGCAGCTCAGTTTTACAGACGAGCAGCTGGTAGTAGCTGAGAGTCATCCACAGCACAGATGTTGAGCTCTAACAGCTGGAAGCTAAGTTTGAAACTAACTTTAAAAAGGAATAGACCAAACTTTTTGTTTTCCTAAAAGCCCTGGTAGGCTAGCCGTTAGCTTAGCGCTCCATGGCTCATGTCAGAAGTGATAAATTAATATTTTTAACATTTGACGAAGCTCCACCGCAAACATGACCAGAACATCCCTTTAAAGCCAACTTCAGCTACAAGACAGCTAAAGGAGCTAACATGCTAATGTGGCATCGTTTGGAAAACAGCTCTTTGGGAATTAGTGTATCGGCGTCAAATTATTATTTAATATGTCAAACTGTTTCATTTAGCCATTTTACTAAACAAACAAACAAAAACTCCGACATGGGTCAACCACAAGAACTGAAAACTGAATGAAGAAGCTGGTCCAGAGAAAAACTTTGGACCTGGAGAACTAGTTATTGATCAGACGTCCAGAATATCGATCTCCCCTGCAGCGCATGAATGAATGATGCGCGTGCGCAACGCTGTTAGCGCGTGCTGCGGGCGCGCTGGAAAGCCCGGGAAACGGAGCCGCTCCATCTGTGGAGCTAACGGCTCCGGACCGGTGCGCCTCCTCCGCGGTCACACGTCACTCCTCTCCGGCGCTCCTCCGGAGTGAGCGAGGCTCCGGGGGGCGGAGTCACAGAGGGGGAGGGGGTAGAGAGACCTCCGGGAGGAGCAGGAGAGAGACTCGGAGCAGGGGGAGGTGAAGCAGCTACAGCTAACTAGCCATGTTGCTGTCCCCGCTGCTGCTGTCGGTGTGTGACTGCTAGCGGGCCGCCCTGGACTCCCTAACCGCCCTGAGGTGCATCATGCCCGGCTGGAAGAAGAACATTCCGGCCTGTCTCCAGCCGGACCAGGAAGGAGGTAAGACCGGACCGTGCAGGTTCAACCGACCGACCGGCGAGCGTCGTCCCCGTGAGTGCGCGCGCATTCACATATGTGCGCTACATGAGCGCGTGCACGTCAATTATCAGCGCGATCGCTCGCGCGGAGACGGTTCTGCTTTTAAATGAGTGAAAGTTGATACCGCGTGTGTGCGCGCGCTCATCTCACGCGCTGATTGACGTTACAGTGATTTCCCCCCCCTACGTTGTGCGTGGACGTGCGCGTGGTTACGGTATTCACGGGTGACCGGTGAACCGGCGGCCCTGCCCCGCGGCGTGTCCGTGCTCCGAGCCCCCTCTCCGGCTGCGGGCGGTCACAGGTCCCGCTGAGGAGGCGGAGGAGCCGCGCACGGACCGGAGAGCATCCGCCGGTCACCGTCACGAAGGGTTCCGTTCCTCGTGCACAGCGAGAGTGCGTTCATAGATCCACGCGGGATAGTTCCACTGCGGGTTGTCATGTAAAGCTGCTCATTTTAAACTTCTTTAACATTTTCATGAATATTTATCAGCTGGAACTGAGCGGCGCCCGGAAACATCAAAGAAATCACGTTTTTATTAAATTCACTTTTCAACTGAGTTCAGTTAAAACACGTAGAAAAGTAGCCAAAGAACTCATTTGTAGCTAAAGAAAAAGGTTTGGCTCATTCATCCAGGCAGGTAATCACAAAAAAGGTTAAATCCTTTCATCTGGACAAGTTAATAATTAAAACTAGCAAGTTGTAGAGAAAATATATAAATAGTTATAACCAAAAGATAAAATTAGCACCACTGTAGATAAAATGGTGCTGCTGCTGCTCAGCGTATTGTTTTGCACTATTAGCATATTTCTTAGTTTATATCTTAGATTCTTATTACTGTTTATTTTTACCTTTTATATTTTTGTTATTGTGACTCTGTACACAGTTTCATTCCACCTCGTGTACCACATGCGATGAGAATTATAATAAAACCTACGTGAAGTGAAAAGCTCAAATGTGCTCGACTGTAGCTAAAGGCTAAAAGTATCCAAATTATTTTTTTGACCTAACTGTTAAATTTATTTATTTTTTCTGGACTCGAGTCGGTCCTTCTGCAGCCAAAACTGTTGTTAAATAAACGTTCGCGTTAAGAGTTTTATTTTTTTTAATTTTTTTTAGATAGAAAACAAAACGAGCGAAACAAACATTTAAATCTGCTCTGATTTCTGAAGCTCAGCCTCAGAAGAACTCCAGTGAATGAAGCTTAGTCGGAACAGAACTGGTTCTAGGTTTGGTGCTGGAACCACTTTACATTAACGTTTAATAAAGTCTTACTAAGTCAGCCGTAAACACCTTATAAACCATTAATTAGCTGTTACAAAGCATTAAAACCAAAGTATAATAGTGACCGTTTATCTTTTTATCCTAACTGCTTGACATTTTTAATAATAAACATTTAAAAATAAATATCAGAAACTCAATTAATTGGTACAGAAAACCAAACAAATGTTTTATAGTTTATAACATTTATGACTCAATAAGGTGGAGTGTTTAAATTGCTGTGGTCTAATTGGTCTGTTCGGAGCAGGAAGTGACCATATTTGGACAAATCGGACCAAAATATAAAACTTTATAATAAAAAAAATCACAACACAAACGATAAAAACATTAAATTATTCGGATTATTTTGACATTCTGAGGCCGTTAGATCTTTCGATCAGCTTTTATTCTCTTTATGAACACATTTAAAAACAATAAATCCTAATAAAGGGCAGAAACAGAGCGGCAGCAAATGTTGGAGAGGTCGTAGTTAAAGCTGTGAAATACGGAGCCACCAGAAGCTGCCAGCCAGCCGACGCGCTCGCGTCTGTCCAAGTAGGACACGGTTTGATGCAATCTTTAAGGAAAATGTCACATTTCCGTGTTTTAAGCAGACGGGTGTGAAAATGTGACGGAGTTCCTGAATTCTTGTGTAATTTTCTGGAAGAGAGGATGAAAACGCAGCGTTTCTGTTTGAAGTGATGACTTCCTGTCAGCTGTGAGCGCTTGGAGCCCCGGCGGTGATTACCGATTGTTTCAGCGCTGATTTAGTGCTGCGTTGTAAACCTCGTGGAGAGGCCATGATTTACCTCCCAGGTGCTCCGCCGTGGAGCCAAATGGACCCGGGCGACGAGCCGCCACAGGCAGCAGAGTAAAAATAGACAACAGGTAAATAATTGATCAACGACACGGAGGAGAATCTGTTCGCAGTGTTTAAAATCAGGTTTATTGGATGTCGGTTCTGGTCTCAGCGGGCCCAACGAGCCGAACATCCGTCTGAAGAGACGAGGCGTCACAGCTGAACACGAGTGGAGTGAAAGACGGGTCCTCCTGAGAGGAAACTCAACGCAGAGACAAAATGGCAGCTGCAGACGTCGAACAGAAACTTGTCATGTTAATTAGCCAAAAATCTCCCCTGAGTTCGGATCGGGACCGGCTGAGACGGAGCCAGAATTCAAACGAGGCAGACTTCAAGGAGAAACGACAAACTGAGAGCAGCTGTGGCTGAAGGTCCGAGGCAGGTCGGACGCTGACGCTTCGCCTTTACCCTTACTTTCTTTGGCTCATATTTACATTCAGCTGTTTTAGCTCCTCTGGTCTCAAAACGTTCAGCTCATTTAGGGCGTCGCAGCAATGACTTGGTTTTTATAAACTTTATCTAAAAGAACAACTTTACTTACATTTTATTTCTCTTAAAATCCCTGAAGATCTGTTGAACCCCTCAGAAAGTGTCTTTTAAATCGTTTGGCAGACGTCCTCTACTTGTGTCTCTGCTGTTTTGTCTCCATATGTGTCCTATTGTATCTGTGTCCATCTTGTCTTTTTGTGCTCGTCTTTCTTTACACGTTTTAGCTATCTTTGAAAATTCAGCTACTTTTCTTCTCAGCTTCAGCTTCTTCGGTACGTTTCGGTGGAATCTGTGGCGGCGCTCGGCGTCCACGTTTCTAATCGTTCACGTGAATTATAAAAACTGTACGTTTAGAGGAGAACGTTCAGCTCACACTGAGCTTCAAACTGAGGACTCCTCATCCTCACAGGATGAAGGTATGCTGTGAAAGCCTGGTGCATGATGGGAAACGCCAGGCTGTGGTTCTGATCAAAGACTTGGCTCCGTCGGATCTTTAACGGAACCTGAAAAGCTTCATTTTCTTTGACACTGGATCAGAGGAACCAACAGTTTTATTTTATCATTCACGTCAGAATGTTCAGAAAAAAGGTCCAGAATTTATAAACAAGACCCAGTTTGATTTGACAGAACCAGAACCAGGTCCCTGAACGTCTCGCCACCTGGCTGAGATTCTGGACTCTGACTGGACCGCTGCAGATCTTTGGTTCTGTTCTCTCTGACCCGTTCTGTTGTAGATCAGCTGCTGTGTTCTGGGTCGTGGTCCTGTTGGACCCAGTTTGGTCCAAGCTTCAGCTGTTGGACTCCAGAACCCTTTTTGTCTACAGAGGAGTTCCTGGTGAACTCAGTGGCTGACAGGACTCCAAACCATCAGCCTCCACCACCGTGCTGACAGCTGTGAGGAGCTGTTTGCTGCAGTGCATTCTGGGTAAACACCTATCCTCTGGTCTGGTTCTGATCCAGAAGTCTTGTGGTTCTTTCAGATGAAACACTGTGAACACACACATGTACACTCCAGAGCTGCAGAACCAGATGGATGGATGGTTGGATGAATGGATGGATGGATGGGTGGTTGGCTGGCTGGATGGATGAATTGATGGGTGGTTGGATGGATGGATGGATGGATGGTTGTATGGATGGTTGGTGGGTTGTATGGATGTTTGGATGGTTGTATGGATGGTTGGTGGGTTGTATGGATGTTTGGATGGTTGTATGGATGGTTGGATAGATGGATGTTTGGATGGATGGTTGTATGGATGGTTGGATAGATGGATGTTTGGATGGATGGATGGTTGTATGGATGGTTGGATAGATGGATGTTTGGATGGATGGTTGGTTGGTTGGTTGTATGGATGGATGGTTGGATGGATGGATGTTTGGATGGATGGATGGATGGATGGATGGCTGGTTGGATGGCTGGTTGATGGATGGATGGTTGGATGGATAGATAACTGGTTGGATGACTGGTTGGATGGATGGTTGGATGGATGTTTGGATGGTTGTATGGATGGATGGCTGGTTGGATGGCTGATTGGATGGCTGGTTGGATGGCTGGTTGGATGGATGGCTGGTTGGATGGGTTGTGCTTGAATCTGTCCCGTGTGTGCATTAGTCCCAGCTTCATACCCGATGATGCGTGCTGTCCAGTCTGCTCACATTTATTCTTACTGGTTCTCAGAGGACGAGCATCAAACCTGAAACAACGTGCCACAGACTGAGCGCAGCGCGATTTGAAGCTCATTTTCAGAGCAAATAGAGACGAGTGTTGGATTTCTTTAAGTCCAACTGCGTCTTTGACTAATTTAAGCTGCTTACTGTGTTTGACTCTTTAAGCCTGTCGTGCTCTGAAGCAGGGACAGAGTTGAACTCCACTCTGGAATCTGAAATGTTTGTTGTGAAGGACTGACAACAAACATATTGGTCTTTTTGTCACAAACTGTTTGTTTGTTTGGAATATCTTACAAAAAGCTTTGAAGCTCTCGACCTTTGACCTCTCTAAGTGTCTTTAAGAATCTGTTGGACACCTGGCAGGGTCCAATGCAGACATGTTCCTGTTGTTAGTTTTCTACATTTGTCTTGGAATCTAGCTGTTTTTTGTTTTGTTACCTTTTCCTTTTAGCCATCCTATTTGTTAAAAAAACAAACAAAAAAAAAAACTGTAGTATGCTTTTTTATAACTGTTTATTGTTGTTGCTGTTGTCCATTGTTGTCATTCTTTGTTAAATCAGGTCTCTCTTGTAAATGAGTCCTTGAGGCTCAATGGGATTTACCTGTAGAAATAAAGGTTGATTGTTTGTTTGCTTTTTGGCTGCACGGTGGAGCAGTGGACAGCAGGAAGGTCAAAGGTCAGACCCCGAC